ACCGGCTACAGACTGAACTAAAATTCTTATTGGAAATGTTTTTAAAAAATCAAGCCAGGAAATGTGTTAACAATGAAAGATCACAGAGCAGTTTTAACAAATAGACATTGGAAAGGATCTCCTTTTAGTACAAAGCGCTTCCTGAACTATTAAAAAAGAAAGAAAAAAGAAAGGAAGGAAGCAAGGAAGGAATGGCCTAGTTTGAATAGCTATGGCATGAGTGCTTCACTCCAGTTCTCCTGAAAGTGGTCTGATTGGAGGAATATGCACCATATGCAAATTTAATATTTGTGGAAAGTCTTTTAAAAGATCAGTCATCCCAAAATAAATGCAGCCAGATCCTTCGTGAAAGGCAGACATCAGAATTAGGTGTATATTAATGATTTAGTGCAATTACTGTCTGACTATTCCCTCAGCTCTGAATGCAGAAAGATCCTATCAACGGAGATTCTATATTTGACATATCAAGGAGTTCAGGGCTGTGCACCGAAACATATGGAATCTATTCCCCTTGACATCATTAATTCACTTCCATATCTGAAACAAAACAAAGGAATATTGCGGGGTTTGAGCTATTTAAGTTAACAACAGAATATTCAGTGATGTCACAGGATAAAAATTGCATCCAAATGATATAATTCCTAGAAAGCCTGGGAGACTAATAGTGGAATATAGAATTAGGATTTGCATGATAAGTTTGGCAAGCGCTAAAATCAATCTGTAAGACTTTGCAAGAGGTTTATTCTGCTGATGAAATAACAGAGGTTTTGTTTAATTCAACACAAGCAAGGGAAATTTTCAGAAGAACTCCATAGAGCATGGCAAATACAGTGCCTTGAATTTTGACAGGTAGAACATGAGAGGTTTCGATCCAGGTCTATGTGCCATCATGCACAGACCACTGCCTCTTGCTCTTAGTTCTCACTGCTGTGAAATGGAAACAGCAGTAGTCAAGCACACAGGATTAGAAGTAAGCACTGTGCATGTTTTGATAATAAAAGTTAAGTATTTTAAATTAGGAGACAGGGCTTCCAGATCAGCTTCATCCCTAACTTGGTACTGTACAAATGCCACTGAATTTAGTTTGAAAAAGAAGCCTAAAGCTACCAGTTTGGGATAGTGAAATGTTCATATTTGACTTCCAATAATTCCATTATTTTGAATGGCTAATGGAAAATATTTTTAAAGAAGCAACCTTTCACTGTTTCTATCTATGTGTTCACACACACACACACACACACACACACACACACACAAACACTGACCAGTGTTTAACAGCAGTCTGCAAATAGTCTTGGAAATACACAATATACTTTCATATATGACATTGTTTCCCCCCCTGTGCTTACCTGTGAGCCCCTATAGCTATTGGCTGAAGTGCTGTGATGTCTGAGAATGGTAAGAAGCAAACATTCTACATGTTGAAAGGAATGACTCCATTTTGGAAGGTTGGCAAATAGTTCAAGGTCTATTAAATATTATTTTGGGATTGGTAAACTATAGGCTGCATCCAACTAAGTTTTACTTGAAATTAATGGACCTGTGTTAGTCCTGTCTATTGATTTCAGGAGGTCTACTCTAGATACAACTCATTATTTATGGTATATTCAGCCAGATCTGTTGACGCACTCTTCCTACCAACAATAGGATGGAGTGTGAAATAGGACTAGAATTAGATGTCTGAAAATAGTTTATTAAGGGGAGGGGATTTCTCACAAGTGTAGCAACCTCTTGCTGCATGCATACATTTTTGTAAGTCCAGAAGTGAGGTGGTATATGGGATTTTATCCCTGCTGCACATCAAGACAATTTATGCATGGCAACCTCAGTGGATACCATTGACTTGAAATATTGAACCAAACCTTTGTTTATAGTTCTTTAATAGATTACATAGTTACTAATCTAAAACACACACACACACACAATTGCTCATAGAAAAGTGCCAATTGCTAGCTGATCACAGTATTAATTCATTTCTATTAGTATATGGACTTTCCAATAGATTACAAATGCAAGAATGATTTCTTTGCAAAGGGACAGCTCAGAATCCAGGTGATCTCATAGCTGAAATAAATACATAATGCCAGCCAAATCTGTCTGTATAAATTCCAATGAGCTCATGTGTTTTCATCACTTAGTATGCACTGAAAAGGAGAGGAGAGGCATTTTCCAGTCATGGGTAAAAAGCAGGCAGATAGAGAAGTGGTTTCCTTTATATTAAATACTTGGCCATATATGGCGATTGCTACATAGGTTGCATGTGTCCATTGAACTGCTTAAAGAAACAAAGGTCCATAATACAAATGGCCAAGAAAACATCTCTTTCTACCTGCATCACATAGCAGACTGTGGTTGGATGGTGGTGTTAGAGCCAACTTCAGCTGCAAAACATCTTGTACCCTATTTGTTTTCCCAAAGCTGTGGCACAAATGCTTGTCCACTGTTCATGTCAAGAATCTTTGGATCCGCCTACAAAAGCTGATACAACAATCTCTCTTTAGTGTCGCGAAATACTCTCCTTTAAAGTTGTCGCTGCCTGGATCTCCCAGTGTGTTCTTCTCTTCCTAAAAGCAGCTGTAGGGGAGGGGTTTTAGATCAGGTCATAATGTAAGTGGGGTGTGGTTAATCCCTTTCCTTGTGCTAACTCTGATGCAAAATCCCTCCTCTCTGAGCTGCTTAAGCAAGAAAGGTGTCCGTATTGTGCTCTATTCCCACCCACCCCTTCTGGAGCCAACAGCAATTTCAGAGAGTTGTTTTGCATCGTGGAATCCATGCTGGAGAAAGAGTTTAAAAAATCCCTTCTGGCTTGCCACAGAGCCCAAATCTTCCTGCCATGATATATGGCATGTGGGAGATCTGATCACAGAACCCTTGCAACATGTGTAGTTTGACCCTAAGTTAAACACTATTCAAACACTATTCGTTTAAAGCACTTTGATACTACTTTAAACAGTCATGGCTTCCCCCCAAGAATTCTGGGAGCTGTATTTTGTTAAAGGTACCGAAAGTTGTGAGCAGACCCCTACCCCCCCTCACAAAGCTACAAGTCTCAGAATAGCTCTGCCAAATGGATCAGTGTGCGGTGAAAACATTTCCCAAGCACCCTAGAAATGACTGCATATTTGGATCTGATTATTCATGTTATGTCAAGTGGGAAGGGCATTCCAGAGATTACATCAGGTTTATTCACACCCAATATCGTCCATATACTTTTTTTAAACAGAGGGACATGATTTATGCATATGGACTCAAGTGCCTTGGAATTGGTTTCCTTGACTGAAATGAAAAACCTGTCTGTGTGTGCGCACGTGCATGTGTGTGTGTGTGTGAGAGAGACGGGATGTGCTCAGAATCCTCCGCACTACCAGGGGCAAACAACAACACATAGGATTGTAAGCTTGCCCAGCAAATAAAGGTAATGATTCCCCTTCAGATCTCCCCCCCCTCAATGCACCAATGTTATGGATAAAGCTGGCAGGGGCAGAGATGCTGGGAGCAGGTGTACTGCACACAGCCCCATAGCTCCCTTCATATATTGAGTTTCCAGTACATTTCCGAGCACAATTCAAAGTGTTGGTGCTGACCTTTAAAGCCCTAAATGGCCTTGGTCTAGTATACCTCAGGGAGCGTCTCCACCCCCATCATTCTGCCCGGACACTGAGGGCCTTCTGGTGGTTCCCTTGCTGAGAGAAGCCAAGTTACAGGGAACCAGGCAGAGGGCCTTCTCAGTAGTGGTGCCCGCCCTGTGGAACGCCCTCCCATCAGATGTCAAGGAAATAAGCAGCTATACTCTTTTTAAAAGACATCTGGAGGCAGCCCTGTTTAGGGAAGCTTTTAATGTTTAACAGACCATTGCATTTTAATATTTTGTTGGAAGCCGCCCAGAGTGCCTGGGGAAACCCAGTCAGATGGGTGGGGTATTAATAATAATAATAATAATAATAATAATAATAATAATAATAAGAAGAAGAACTGCATAGGCAAATGCCTGAAAAAGTTTATACATGCATAGAATTAAGCCTCAGGGGCCTGCCAGACGTCATTTTTATTGTGCATCATGATGATTTGTGCTCATGATGCTATTGAGGCAGTCTCTTGTGATCCCATGTCCAAGACTATCTGCACTTGGGTGGTCATACTGCTTCTAAGCATTGTACACCCTGTAACTTTCTGCTGAAGTCCTGTAACTTTTTTTTAATCACAAATGTTCAGGTTTGGGGTTTTTGACACACTTTTGTTGTGCCAGAGCACCTCCAGGTAGTAATAACATGGTAGCATGGGTGAAGCATAGAGGAACTAAAGCAGAATAATTTCATCACCAATGCACCAATGTTGTGTCAAGAGCATCTTGCAGAATACACCCACAGTAAAGCACTCATTTAGAGGGGTCCTGAGTTAGCTGAGTCACCACCATCATGTTTGGTCGATCCATCAGGCTTGTGTAAGAAACATGGCAGAAGTGACCAATCTGATTTAGGGAAGAGGAAAAGTTCTGTCACACCCCATGCAGTTGCCTTCAACTCTCTCTATTTCATTCTCAGTGCTGTTTTTATAGAAAAAAGAGGTGCTGGAACTCCCCACGGATGCCTTCCTTGTTCTCTTCTACAGTGGTACCTCTAGTTAAGAACTTAATTCATTCCGGAGGTCCATTCTTAACCTGAAACCATTCTTAACATGAGGTACAACTTTAGCTAATGGGGCCTCTTGCTGTTGCCGTGCCACCGGCACACGATTTCTGTTCTCATCCTGAGTAAAGTTCTTAACCCGAGGTACTACTTCTGGGTTAGCAGAGTATGGAAACTCGAAGTGTCTGTAACCCGAGGTGTTTGTAACCCAAGGTACCACTGTAATGGCAATGGAGCTCACTTGATAGGTGGGGAATTCCATTGAACTCTGGCTGAAAAAAGCCCTGCTCCCACTTAATACAATGCAGTTAATATTTTAGAACTCCCCACCCTGTTTCTGTGTTCAGTATTACTAAAGAATATGTATTTTTCCAGGTGTGGGATGAAAATCTAGCCAAGTCGGCTGAAGCATGGGCTGCCACCTGCATTTGGGACCATGGCCCTTCATACCTAATGAGATTCTTGGGACAAAATCTGTCGGTACGGACTGGAAGGTGAGCAGATGACTTGTAGCATATCTTCATTCAATGTATTTTGGCAACAGTTACCCTGATGTAGAAGATTCCTGAGAACATTGGCACAAAAGCAGCCCTTTCACTTAGTTAATGAGCCAGCTTCACACATGCAACAGGATCCAGGCACAGAGCATTCCTTTCCAGTGAAGTAAACAGAGAAGCCTATTTGTGCAGGAGTACTCTGTGTACACTGGAGCACATGGATCAGCAATGGGGTCTGACACAACGCAGTGACTGTTGCTATTTTGGTAAAGAAAATGATTGCGATGTGGGTCCAAGAATACATGATATACAAATTAGGCAAAGAGATCACTCTTTAGTTGTTGTAAATGTATGCAAATGTTCACATTTCATTTTTAAAAATACTGTTTTATTGTTCACCATTTGGAAACTTCTAAAATTCTAAAAGGACATATACACAAAAAATAAAATAATCACCTTCACAGCTCTGTCCATCCAGCAAAATCAGAAGCTATATAAGTAACAGATTATGTATAAGTATCAGCAACACTCTAGCATCAAACAGAGCATGCATTTTCTTCAGCATGTCCCAGGGCTTATTCACAAAAATATAGGTCAGTTTTTCAAGACATCATGATCATGGAAATCGTAGTCACTCTGTAAGAGGCCAGAGTGTACCTGAGAACTTGATCACATGGAGGAAATAACCACAGCCTAATATCTGTCTTATGCACATCAATAATGCTGAACATTCAGAAATGTCCCTATCTCTCTGTGACTTCAATCACACCTAGGTATCGATCTATTCTCCAGCTGGTGAAGCCATGGTACGATGAAGTGAAAGACTACGCATTTCCGTATCCTCAGGACTGTAATCCAAGGTGTCCGCTGAGATGCTATGGGCCCGTGTGCACACATTACACCCAGGTGATTTGAGTTCAGCTTTTCATACATCAATATCATGCTTCAGTTCAATGCTCGGCTCCCTACGCTATCTGTATTTATCTCCACATTTGACTCTAACAAATGGACATTAATCTTTCTTCAGATGGTTTGGGCCACTTCCAATCGAATAGGCTGTGCAATCCACACATGCCACAACATGAATGTCTGGGGGTCAGTCTGGCGACGAGCTGTTTATTTGGTATGCAACTATGCCCCAAAGTAAGTAGCTCTCTTTTCTTTTCACCAGCTTTCATATTAGCATGCAGGCTATCTGACTGAGCCGACTCATCATCTTTTCAGTGGCGCAACAGAGCAAGAAGAGGCTGGAAGCGCAGATCTGGGGCTTTCCCCCCCACAGTATGAGTGATGATGTCATCTGCCAGAGGGCCAGGGTGGATCCTCCTTGCTTTGGACAGCAAATGAGGAGACAATGGCACTTTCACGTTTTTTCTATCTACTCTCTTCTATCATTTGTGACAGATGAGAGTAGAGCAAGGGTGGGTAATCAGACTCTGAATACCATTAACCTCTGAGGGCACAGTCAATGGGCAGGGATGATGGGAACTGTAATACAGCAACATCTGGAAGGACATGGCAGCTTCTCTGCCACTTCTGGGTGGTAGGGACAGGCAGGGGTTCTTCTTCAAAGCCTGGCATTCTTGGTTAGGTGGCCAGGCTTTGTCCATATGCTTCCAATTCTCAGCCACGGGGGCTATAAACTTGAATAACATGAATATCACATCTGGTTGTGATACTATTCCGTATCAAGTACCAAACTCTGTGATTTTCTTTTCCTTCACCGAATCACACAATAGACTTAGCCCTACATACAACATCATCATCATCAACAACAACACTTTTTTACGGTCGTAGACCAGCATAAGGAGGGAGGGGTACAATCATTTAAAAAACAACAACACATTTCTTTTATTAAAAAAACTAAAAGGAAGTAAAACAGAATATATATATATAAAAGTCCATAAGAATCCAGATGAGGCGAAGAAGGTCTAAAACAAGGGTTAGGAACATCAGACAAGAGTGAAAGAGTGCAAAAGGCTAGTATATATAAGACCACAGTCTACAGTCTACAGAGCACTCCAATACGAGTACTCATTATATCTAGTTTGTGGCACAGATCATCTGAGCGCTGCTGTGCAGAATCTTTAGCCCTACATAACAGATAGAAAACTAAACCTAATTGATCTGTTGGAGAGCTACTTCAAACAGTGATTCTATGTGCTAATCACATTATTACTTTTATTCCTCAGGGGGAACTGGATTGGAGAAGCGCCATATAAAGTAGGGGTGCCGTGTTCTGCTTGCCCTCCCAGTTATGGAGGATCCTGCACTGACAACCTTTGCTTTCCAGGAGTAACATCAAACTACTTATATTGGTTTAAGTAAAATAGTGCAGCATCCCAATAACTATTCTGGTCAAATGAGACTGTAACAAAATATTGTATATTGAACTTTGCACATATTGTATGTAAATAATTTTAATAATATTAATAATAATAAATGTACTTTGTGAAGTAGTTTGAATAATTAGATTTCTGGATGTGGCAAAAATCCCCTGCTTAATTGACAGAGTCACCCTTCCAGATCACTGATAGGCGGAGAGGGATATCATATATTTACAAAGAGAAAGAAAAGGAAGCTATAGAAATGGCAAGTAATGGAGTGATCCACAAATAATCTTAACTGGAGTACTTGGATTTAAGGTAATTAAATTCTGCTTCCTTAAAAGTCATTGGGAATATATTTTCTTATCTTCAAAAACTCCACCATTACAGGGTTGTAGTGAAATGCAATGTTCTGAGTTTTACAAAGGCCTTCTAGCCAAACTGGCAAAATAGAAGATATGTACAAATCAAGCAATTTAAGGAATGCAAATTAACTCTGTAATAGAACAAAATCACCTATGAATTATTCTTTTGTGTGTCTGTTATTCTTTAGAATGAGAAAAGCAAGTGCATTTTGGTAAAATAATAATCGTAATGTTTGTAAAAAAAGGGGGGGAGGCCTTCAGATGATTTTGTGAGGAAAATTTTACTTAAACCTTAGCAGTGTGTGTTTTGTAAAGGGTTCTTGTTCCAGAATCTAAGCAGTATTGAGCAAATGTTCTAGTTTATTTCTTTTCTTCAAAGCATGCGCGTTACTGCAATTGTGGCCTGGTGCTATGGACTGATTTTATCTGTGGGAGCACAAATAAGGGAAAACGTTGCTGCAGCAAGTAACATCCTAGCCATGTCCAAAGAGGCAGAACTTTCTGGCTATGCCCTTCTTGACATACCTTTTCTGACCAGATGCTCATACCTGAAGCCATAAAAGTTTCTTTGGGCACTGCAGGGTGGTCTCCTTACCCCCTTGGATTGGTACTCCCTCTTGAGAGAGCAGACCTGATAGCTGCTGTCGTGCTGATGCAGGTCCCAGGACCACATCAAGATGTTCAGTAACATTAGATGGAGCTGTTAGGCTCCTTCATTCGTGGTAGAAAATTTGCTGCATTTGCCTTGTTCAGATTTGCTGTTCCCTGTGACCTATTTGCTGTTCCCTATGACCAATTGGGACATGGGTGGCACTGTGGGTTAAACCACAGAGCCTAGGACTTGCTGATCAGAAGGTTGGCGGTTCGAATCCCCGCTACGGGGTGAGCTCCCGTTGCTCGGTCCCTGCTCCTACCAACCTAGCAGTTTGAAAGCACATCAAAGTGCAAGTAGATAAATAGGTAGCACTCTGGCGGGAAGGTAAACGGCGTTTCCGTGCGCTGTTCTGGTTCGCCAGAAGCGGCTTAGTCATGCTGGCCACATGACCCGGAAGCTGTACGCTGGCTCCCTCGGCCAATAAAGTGAGATGAGCGCTGCAACCCCAGAGTTGGTCACGACTGGACCTAATGGACCTAATGGTCAGGGGTCCCTTTACCTTTACCTTTATGACCAAGTCATACTCAGTTCAGTACCTTTATCTTTAACTGGCTCTGTTCTGTTAAACTAGGTAACAGAGTTGTGAGTGATAGTTGTGGTTGAACCTTTGCTGTCATATATCTGAATGAAAAAATGCCAGGCAGAGGAAGCATAGATGTATTCGCTGCAGATGACCACAGTAACATGTGGATGACTGGAGCTGGGGCTAGCAGCATGCAGATGCCAGAGGTAGGGCCAGGAACACAATACTGCCCCCCATAATTATGTAATATCCCTTTCACATGTTACTAAAGAGCTAAAGCGTAACTAATATTCATGGGTGCAACATCAAACTGATTTTACTCTTGTGAAATAAGCTGTTGTTCTTTTTGTATGAATGATCTCCTCTAGGGAGAGGATGAGTGTTGAGAAAAATGCAAATCCTATATATTTTTAATTTTTTTTTGGGGGGGGGATAAGTATGACATTAAAAACGCAATACTTTTTTTAAAAACAGTGTTTATGCTTTCTAAACAGAACTAGTAACTGTAAATATATGATTCTGTAATGTAGCAGAAACTATTACATACATATGGTACTGTTAACTGTTATTCTTCTACATTGTATGAATAAGCTGATTCTGTGGAATAGCTGTCTTTCAACAGTTCAAGTAACAAAAGTTTTCTATTATCAAAGAGGTGCATAAGCTTTTTCACAGTCTACAACAATGGTGCTAAGAATGGGCAAAAGTCTGGCTGCATTGAAAGCAATTACTTTTTTTAAAAAAAAAACATTCCTTTCAGTGAAGCCAGGATTAACCCATTATAAACACACTGTTAAGTGCAACAGGAAACAAAAATGAGATAAGCTATTTCATAAGAGCACCTTCGTTTTAAAAAGGCAACAAGTTTTGGAGGGTTCAAAAGAAGTCTCCCCTCCACACAGCTAGGAGACATTTCAATGCATCACATATTTGACTTATATGACTGAAGAATAGTAGGATGTTTTACAATACTGTGTTTACCTGTAATCTTGTGTTACTTACTATCAGCTTTCAGTTGATTGATGACAGTGGGTTTTATACTAGGTTCCTCAGAAACACAGAGTTTATCAATAAGACGTTCAGCAGTGGCAGTCAAACTTTCCTGAAAGACAACTTTGGTGATCTCTATTATTATTGATCTTCTGTGATATAAAGGAAAGGGGGTTATATTTCGGTGCCTTCAGTTAGTGTGGGGAAATGGGAAGAGCCTAGCAGGCCAGGCCAATGACTGATTGGCAGATATATAGGTTCCTTAGCAGAACAATATGGGTCCCTTGGCAAACAAACTTATGTAGAAAACATTGTTTGACTATATGAGGTTTGAAAGCCATTGGTTATATAACAGCAAAGTTGAGAAATGTACATTTACCTCCATGGCCAGTATCAAATGGTGCTTGAGAGAACAGCTTCGTGTGAGGCTATGTCTTTTTTGCTAACAACAATGGGACCATTCTAGAGAGAGCTTAGACAACAATCAATCAAATATCTGGAGCAACAGCTACACAACTGCTGTCTTGCTTCATTGCTGGCAAATACACAGTGTACAAAATTGGAGCAGCACAAATGTGGCAGTAAGAATGTGCTGCACTTTCTTTTTTTAACAGAGGAGAAATTCTGGTGACTAGTCCCTGCGGACTTTCACTGGAATTGCTATTTCTCTCAATGACTCCATTATTACAGGGCTGCATGTTGATTAAGATTAGGGTAAAAACTGATCAGTGACTTCCTGACTGGTATAGGCATGCCATTGTAAAAATACATTTTTGGAACATTGCAATCTTTTTCTCCTTCAAATATGAAACAAATATTTACCAAAAAAATGGGGGTGGGGGGTGGGAGGACTAGAACAGAGTAAACTGAATTGGTCTTCCAGATGCATGGTGAATCAGTGGGGACCCAGGAATAGGAAGTGGCTAGCTTGTCCAAAATGTTGTTAGCAGTCTAACACAGCTTTCACACATTTTAATAATTACTTGAGTATTTTGGCTGATTTCCTCACCAAACAACCATTTTTGGTGCTAACATTTCATGCTTATAGTGTTAACTACACATGATGGTGCTAGAAATGTTGAGTGGCAGCTTTAATTTTGATATTACCAAATGTGCCCTGATAATTGTCACCTTCATGAGAAGGAGAAGCAGATTGTCCTATAGGATACACAAAATCTCTTTACCAAAGCACTCCACATCCTATGACATCAACATCAGGTTGTTTTAATGGCTATCAAATCAATCTTTAGTAAAACAAATGAGATGAGAAAAGAATATAGGCCATGCAAACTAGTGGCTTAGGTTTAAAAGGGAACCAAATTGCTTTGGTAGAGTGCGGTACCAAAAAAATAGAGTGGTACTTAAAAAAACCAAAACCCTCACCTTTTTTGTAGGCTTGGAATTTATAACTTATTGATAGAAGCCTTTTGATTCATCTCAGAATGCCCTAATTAATCAGAAAGTGGTTTTTTTAATAAAAAAAAACCTTACTATTTTTTAAAAAATATAAGTAGTTATAAAAACCACAAGAGGAATTCTGTCACACAGGAGGAAATGCTGAGCCTTCTGTTCATGCATCATCTAAAAAGCAAATAAAGTATTAATTTTGCTTCAGGACTATTGTTCTTACTCAAATCCAGATTTCTGCAAATTTAATTGATTGGCCAACCAATTACTTAACTAAGAATGGTATTGCTGAAGGCGGTTAAACCACCCCACTTGAAGCTCTGCTGGGCTCTTGCCAGCAAGGCAAAGTGAAGGCGAAGGTGTGTTGTTATTGTGCTTTTCTGTTATATTCTAGCTTTGAAAACATTCACACTTCAGCCTTCCCATTGGGAGCAATCAGAGTAAAAGACTTAGACCAGCACTTAAGCTTGCCTAAATCTCTGCCTGGTTTGGGACCATGTCAGGTGTCTGAGAAATCTTTGGATCCTTTAAATCCAAGCCATTTCCTGTTCCTCCATTAGCAAGCCCAGAAACCACCATGAAACACCACCATTTTGTGCCTTGTCAACGTTGGTTTGACCAGGACACCAGAGATTTCCACAGGGATGGGCCAGGGCTGTTCTGCTACATGAAGGGAATAGGAGTCTTCTAACAACTCTTGGCACCCTGAACAAACTACAGTTCCCAGGGTACTTTGCAGGGGAAGCCATGGATGTTTAAAGTGGTATGATACTGCTTTACACGTGTATAGTGCAGATAGGGCCTGGCATAAGCAAAACTGATGATTGCAATCCAGCTGAAAGAATGAATATGAAAATGATGGCATATTCAAATAGATTTTTTTTAATCTTCTGCAAGAAGGAAAATATCAGTGGAACTGAGTATCAGTGGGATCACAACAATAATCAAACTTCACATTCTGAAGCTGTAATGGTTTCTTTAAAATCCTTGTTGACTATAGTGCTATAACCATAAAAGTAAATGGTTTCAAGACTCTGGGCATTCTGTAGGGACATTTTTTACATTCATCATAAGTCACTGTAGCAGTCCTGGTCACAATGACCCAAATGCTCCTAAACAATGATAGTTGAAAGTAATAGGCAGTCTAGTAATAATAAATGTACTCTCTTTTTCCAAATTCAACATGCGATTAAATGACAATCAAGCTGTTTCACTAAGCATGTTGTTGCCAGCTAGCTGAACAGCCCATATATTCTACCACTGATGGGAAATTATGCAATGATGCACCAAGGAACCCATAAAAACAACTATCTCAGATGTATTCACTGATAATACAGCAACCCAAGGTATATTACCCCATAAAGCTTGAGGCCGCTTAAAGTCGTACACCCAAAATGTTTTAAATGTACCCATAAACCTTGTGAATTAGGAATGCAACAAATGCATCTTGAACCTGTATATCATAGATCAGATGTCAAAGGCAAATTAGGAATATGGTAAGTAAGTAAATAAATAAATGGAATAGAGATCAATGCACCAGGGAGCTCTGGATATCTGCAGCTCCATGAGAGGTGTGCACTTGGGGC